CGCTTGCGCCTCCCACCCCGCCCCCGCCCCCACAACCACCCCCGCTTGCGCCTCCCACCCCGCCCCCCCCGCCCCCACAACCACCACCGCCTCCACCTCCACCTCCACAACCCCCACCCCCACAACCACCACCACCACATCCCGTCCCACCACCACCAGCACCAACCGAGCAGCCGCCCGCCCCCTGTAAGCCTAATATCAGCTTCCCTCATTATCCAAACACAACGACACTCACCGCTGCACACCCCAAACCTCCATTCACCACCGCTCCAGCAGCAGCAACGCACCCACCAGGGTAGTAATAAAACATCGGCACAGGATATAAAAATGCAATCCCATGATCAACATCCCCATCCCTCTTCAACCCTCCCGTTCCGCTCTGCCTGCAGCCTCCGCATCTCTGCCTTGCGCGCGCGGTTCTCCCGCTGACGCAGGCTGCGGACATGTTGTGCAGGGCAAACACGGCGTTGTGATCGCTTGGGTGCGTAGCAGCACGTGCGTCAGATTTGGGAGGGAGTAAAAGCACATTACTAGTGGTTTGAGAGAGAGGAGGCGTCGGAGTTTTTGACCGATGTGTCTCCTGGCAGTGGACACCCGCAGTGCATGTAGGGTACGCGATAACGGTCCTACGATTTAGAGAGTTTAATGGGGATGTCGTATTCCAAAGGAAATAGCTTACATTCCAAGCACGACAGGTAATGTCGAAGGAGGTCGCGAGTTGACCTTCTTCCACTTTATCATCGCTGAAAAATGAGTATTCATTATGTGTGTTCCGCATTGTGCCCGTGACACCACCCTACTGATTAACATATCGTCCTACGAGCGAGAGGCAGTCGTTTGATACCGACTCGCCATAAGTTGATGAGTATGCCACGCAAGATCGATATCGAGCGTGGGCACGAAGAACGAGGCAGGAGACTCAGCCATGATGTTCAAAAAGCTGCAGAGCAATGTTTTTGTGCAGTCCGTAGAAAAAAAGGAGCGAGTACGCACGCGTGATACCGAGCCGTGCAATGTTGTAGCACCACCGTATCTACCTCGTTCACAAAATATCCTGGCTCGGTCCACCCAAGGTTATCCATCTTCTCCACAAACGATGCTTGCCGGAGGACCTAGACTTGTAGCATCAGTCCTTGAATACGATCAGTGTTGAAGGTCTGCTCACAGCACCGACTAAATCGAGTGAAAATACCCTGTCGTCGGTGTAGGCACCCATGATCTTATTCAACCTGTCCCTCAATTGAGAAAACGTATTCAGTGCAACAAAATAGGACATACAATCTTGGCTTCAAGTGCTTGTTCAGCACGGTACGCATGCGCGTAGCGTCATACCGGACGTTTATCAAGATCTGGCGCACGGGATTACTTGCATTCTTCTTCTTAAAAATGAGATGCGAGCTGAGGACGCGCTTCTTGATCGTGTCTCCGCGCCTAGTGTCGTAGGTGCTAAGTGGCGTATGCAGAGTTCCACTGTGTGTATATATTAGATGTCGTTCAACATGGTCAGCAACGCAACACCCACGCCAAATATTTATCAGGCGCTGTTCCTTCAACTATGTTCTTCGCAAACTTGTATAGGCCGAGAAGTTCTTTGGTAATTAGTCCAGCACATTCACACTTGACGCTAAAGTTGCTCTGGGCGTATCCCATCCCGTTGGACTGCAAGAACGCTGCAGCTGGCTGTCAGAATATATTTCCATGATATGAAGGTATAAGGGACGTACGCGAAAGGATAGTGCGATCGCAGTAGGGGCACTTGATAGATTTGTGCGTGAGATCCGCAGCAGATGCAAATGGGTCATACGGTGATTTGGTAAGGCGCTCCCAAGCAGAGACGCGTTCATGTCGTGGTGCGTCAGTGGTTAGTAGATCAGGGTTAGCCTGACACAGCGTTCAGCGAGCTCGGGACATTGTTCAAAGTGTTGTGGCATACGAGGAGGTTAGGAAAGTAATCAGTGAAATGAGTGAGAGGTATGAGCTTGGAGATCCGCGCGGTGTCCTCCGCATACCAGCTGCAGATGTGACCGAAAAATGTAAGGTTCATCATTCATGGGGAATTGAAAACATGCTTGCCTCGGATTCAGGAGATAGGCGTGCCACACCATAGTGACATCAATGGGAGGTAATCGTTGCTCCACCGTATCATATTGCTTGATTGTCCAACACCACCTCTCAAACCTGCACTCCACCAGTGCAAAGGATTATCAGTGCAAGCGCACGCAGAACGCTAGTAAGACACGTACCGTTCTACGGCCATATTGACGAACCATACCCAACGTTTCTCACTGTCCGACTCTAATCCTGCGACAAGGCTCTCGCTGGCAACGACCTGCTGCTTAAGGTGGCTGAACGCTGCCAGAAGCTGAAGATGGGCCTTGAGCTGATCTGGGCGGACGAGGTGCTGCGTGCTGCGTCGTCCGATGTTGAATGTCTCTGGAAGAGTGTACTGCGGTGATTCGGGCTCTGGCTGGGGAAGCGTAGGATATGGGGGGAGCTGCTCAGTCATGTTGGAGACTGCTGCGTATGTGGTTCCTGGTAAAGTATCACATATTTAATAGGGACGCTCAAAGTTAAAACGCCCAATGCCCAAGCCCAACGCCCCAAGCCCAACACCCAACGCCCAATGCCCAACCTCGTGACCGAAATGAGTATACAGTTGCGGACACGCAAAATCGACAACTATGGTTAGCTTCCCCACAACCTTCTGAAAGACCTCAGTAACGACGCCTTACGCATGATTAGACCATTTGAAGACGAACAAAGCTTCATTCAAGCTGCCGATAACAGTCTTTGTAGTCACTCAAACCCCAAAATTTGGCCGGTCATTAAAATAGCGCCTAAAATCACGAAAAATAGCGCAATCGACTCCTTTTACAACCTTGAGTATGATTCTGGTATTAAAGATATAGAGTTCAACCCCGAAAAAAATTAATAACTCTCACCTGCTCATGGCGTGCTCGAAAAGACCCAGGCGAAGCACTCCATTGTCAGACCATGACAATTCCGAAAATGAAGTCGATGCCCTGAAAAATCTGTTGACAAAGAACCCGGCATCAGTGAATTGATAATTCCTTGATATTCAGAAAATGCGGGATTTGGCCGGTCCGCGTAAGGTCTATGCAGACAGACCGTGTCAAAGGTATGGGGGACATCTGCCAGTGGCTGTTCGCAAAATGCCGGGAAGTCTGTCAAAGCCGCCATATTATGTCATATTGACATGCCCTGCTGTCAGGCTCTCCCACCATCCCCTCTCCTCCTCACTCCCACCATCCTCACTCCCACATATTGACGTGCCCTGCTGTCAGCCTCTCCTGCCATCATCACTCCTGTCATCCCACTGTCAGTGTCACCCGCCCCACTGTCAGCCTCTCCCTCCATCCCCCACTATCCATCCCTCACTAGTTGCCTGCCTTGCCCATAGACAACATGTCATTGGCTGCAGCTTCACAGCTGCCAAGTATTCCAGGTGCCATCCTGCAAATGTCATCAATTGGACTCGTGGTTGACTGCACTTACTGTGGTCTTGCTGTCTCACTTACAATCTGTCAGAGCAACAGAAATGGCAATGCTGGGGAACCAATGGCAAGGGTAAGTGTTCATTAATTTATGTTGCAGTACTGTATTAACATGCCTCCACCAGCACCCACAGTGTAATTACTTTAAGTTCTTCCCTGAGCTGCTATGATACCCTGATATTCTTGCCACCATACCCTCCTCCAGCAAGTTGCTGACAATTCCAAGTACACCACCAAATATGCTGCCATCATCCTTTGCTGGCCTGCCAATGCAGCCCCCCACTTGGATGCAGCCAGCACCCTTGTCTTTTGTCCCTCCTTCAAATGGGAAGTGGTTGTGCAGGAAGGGCTCACCATGTGAGGGTCCCTTCTGCCGCAAGCCTTGGGCACTGCATTGTATGCATTGCATGTGCCTAAAGCACTGTGAGGGTGAGGGTGGATGTGCAATTCATGCTAAAGGTAGCAAGGACATGGATGGGATGGACCATGACTATGACTTTGAGTTTGTGCAGGCTGACCTGCTGGACTACATACTCAATAATGAGGGGAATGGGATTGAAGAGCTCCAATGAGCCCTCCAGACATCTATGGCTGCCCAACCAGGTGCCCCCCTACATGTACCTTCAATTCATGAGCTAATGGGGCCTGTACTACAACCTCCTCCTTTGACTCAATCCCCTCCTTTGACTCAACCTCCTCCTTTGACTCAACCTCCTTCTGCAGCTTAACCTGCCCTGGCTTCAACCAGTATTCCTGCTTGCAAGCAGCCCTGGATCACTAACCAAATGGATCCTACTTGGGTGCATGACCTACATGCATGGGCACAGGAGGAAATTGAACAAGGATGCACTGCTGAACATCAAAAAGAGATGGAGCAGGAAGCCAAGTGCCACTTTGTATTGAACTGGTTTGATGCAGTAAGTTGGCCACTACTATTTTGTCGGATAGACACTGAATTTGTACTAGGATGACAAGCCTGTGGATATGCAGTGGGTGTCACACTGCCCATTCTTTCCACAGTATAAGCTTGCTGATGATGTGATGCTGGTCGAATCACTTGGAACAGGCATCAGCCAGATTGAAGTCTACAACAAGTGCTTGGCTCAATGGATCCCAGCACCACTTACATATACCTTCACACTCACATCTGAGTGCCACATTTTTGTACAGCATTATGGCATCACTCACTGCGAAGGTTTTTCTGACCTATACATGGCATTAAGAAAATTAGTTTGGCCTGCACACATTCGTTTTAACATGAAAGGTGAGTGGAATGGTGTCTGTGCCAAGTGTTAAGAACCATGTTGCTCAAGGGGGAGAGAGACTGACTCAGAGGGGCTTGGCCTCAGCTTGTACACTGTGCCCCTTACCTGAGTATGTGCCCTTCATTTCATATGAGGTCCGATGATGGTCTGACGAAGTCTGGAGGACTTCCAGAGGCTGGCTACTCTGCTGGAGAGCACTAGAGGACTTCCAGAGGAGTGCAGGAAATGTCCGGAGGAATGCAGGAAGTGCTCAGGAGAGTTCCCACTGCAAGGTAATACTTCTACAGGAAACAGGATGGAAGGATAGGAGGTCTGAAGGTCCAGAGGACAGGAGGACAGGAGGGCAGGAGGACAGGAGGGCAGGAGGACAGGAGGATAGGAGGACAGGATGTCCGGAGGTATGAAGGACAGGAGGACAGGATGTCCGAGGGTTAGGAGGATGGAACGTCTGAAGGTACGGAGGGCGGAACGTCCAAAGGACAGGATGCCTGGAGGTACAAGGGACAGGAGGTCTGGAGGTCCAGAAAGAATAGGGGCTACATCAGACTTCATCCGATGTAGAAGCAAACAGAGGTAGACTACCTTAAGGTAGAGTCGGAGAGACAGGGATTGGACCTAAGTCCGGAAAGAGGGAAAGTGCTGGAAAGGCAGAGCTCCGGCCTAGGGAATCAATCCCTAGGCCTGATGGGTAGGACAGACTTAGGTGGACCAAAGTCTGAGAGAGGATTGGGCAAGTCTAAGTTGATATTCAAACTGAGGAACTACAGGAGTATCTACAGGGGTTATATACTGAACAATATCTGAGGGAATCAGTAAGCAAAGGAGCAAGGCTATGTATGAGCATGTGGAAACACATTAGTGAGTAAGTCGGAACATAAGTAAATGAACTTGGAGATGAGGACTCATACAAGGATCAATAAGCAAGATGGAACAAGAGGTAACCAAAAGCCGGAAGGCAGAGAATGCCTAAATGGGAATAGGCGCAGGATATCGGACAGAGGGTGGGAATAGGTCCGGAGTTAATATCCAGAGGTCTGGAGATCTGGGGATCCAGAAGACAAGGTGGATACAGGACCGGGATATGAGAAGGTGGATAGAGTCCGGAATCCAAGACGAGGTGAAGTCTGAATGTCTTGCTGGATGGAGTGTACATAGGGTGGATGGGACAGGGGGTTATGGTTCAGGCTAGCAGTGGAGATCCGATGGTCCAGAGCTCAGGGGTAAATCTGGAATGTAGTCAATCCTGCTGAGGTGTGGAGCACACAGCAGAAGGGGATCTGGGAATGAGTTGGATATGAAGTGTGGTCTGGACATAGGCTCAGAAGGCGTGGGAATATGATGGAATGTGGGTCCAGATTGTGGGATATGACACCAAGCTAAAGCACAAATGCAAATGTACTGCCATCATCCCATCTGATTTGGAGTCTGATGTTGAGATTGTTGAGAGTGGATCACTCACACCAACAGTTACTGAGAAAAAGAAACAGGCAGAGGGCAAGTAGTCCTGGTAATGATGTTGATACCCCTGCACTGTCTCGCCCACATCTTTGTCTTAGGTCGCCTTCACTTGCAAAGGTCGATTTCATGGATTGCCATGTGGAGTCAATGTCACCAATGCTCCCAAGGATGGACCATTGTGCAATGTCTCTCTTGCCATCACAATCCTCCTTGCCGTTGTGGTTCCCATTAACACCAGAACAATCCCATGTGCCTGGACCTGTCATGCAATGTCTCCCTCACCATCATGATCCTCCTTGCCATTGTAGTTCCCATCAACACCACAACGATCTACATCACTGGTGGAATTTCCTTCATCACCATCGCTGCTATCTCTGTCGTCACCATTACTGCCTTCAGCAACATCTACTAGCCCATCTTTGTCCATCACATCAGTTCATGTCCCTTCATATGATGCTAACAACAAGCAAGAAGTATGGCCTCATGGAATGTACACTGTTGATATGGCTGCTGGCTTTTGTCAGCTGGATGACCCTACCCTGCATGGTGTCTTACTGTCAAGAAGAACTATTTGAATGCATTTTTGAAGTTCCCTACATCAAGGCCACATATCACCAAAACCATCAGGCATGGATTGAGGCTAACCCAAAAATACGTAAAGCCCATGAGCTGGCAAAGTATGCAGCTGGGGGTCTCTGGAAGCACTTCTTGCATGCACATCAGATTGCAACAGGGAAACAAAGTAAGAAGTCCAATAAACTATACTCAAAGATGAGCAAGTCTTGATACTATCATGCCACTCATTTGTCCTATCATTACTTGTTATGTCCTTCGACTTGATTTGCTTACTTTAGTCACTTGTTGTCCTTGTCTTTGTAGCTTTATCACTAGATTTGTATTCAAATGCACAATCATTATCATGAAGTCAAATTGCTTGGGGAGTTGGAAATTGAGCTGTATGGTCACACACTGAAACGATTGGTGGAGGGCATCATGGATGGCAATGTCAAGCTATATGGTGATGTTGGGCTGTATGGTCGCACACTGGAATGATTGGCGGAGGGCATCATGGATGGTGATGTTGGGCTGTATGGTCACACACTGGAATGATTAGTGGAGGGTGTCACAGATGGTGATGTCAATCTTGGGGCTGTAGAATGCACCATTGCCAGGGTTGACTTCCCATTTACCTGGATATTGCTTATCGAGTGCTTTGGTGAGTTGCTATGCATCCAAGATGGTAATATGCTGCATGAAATCAAATAGCACACTGATCTCATCTTATATCTGTGAGGGCAGGCAGAACACGTTTAACATTGGGAGAAGTGTCTAATGAGAAGTATGAGGGTGGTGAGGAGACTTGCCCTGAGCATGTAAAGTAGTGATGGTAACACAATTGTGATGCAGGATCATTTCATCGAGAAAAAAATCGTACTTCACAGGTGTCATTTCCTAGCAGATGTTGTGAAAGCTCCCAAGCCACACATTTGTTTGCTCTGCAATAGATGAGTTGAAGTAGAACTTTCCATTAGTGTCCAGCAACTCTGGATAGGCTCGCATGTCACACCACTTGTGGCAGAAGGTGTCGCTGGCCTTGTGTTTTGTCCTGTGATGAAAGGCATCTACACACATGCCCATCCCATGAAAAAACTTGACGTTTCTGCTCTCAACTTCACAAAGCACATTACAGTTTGAGTTGTAAATCATGTGCTATGGCTTTTGAGCATGTGGTAAGGAAAAGATCTTTTCCACCAAAATCTGCCAGTGGGAGTTATATTGATGTCAGATCAAGCAAACACACTGATGCACCAGTACATTTGAGATGGCCTCATGGTGGTACATTGTCCCTTGTCTGCTGATGATGCCACATGGCCATACAATGAGCTGCTCATTGTTTGTGCATTGTTGACAAAACACAGCCTTCAGCTTGACAGGAGCATCTTTGCCAAAGCATGCAGGTGCACTGTTGTCACGGTTGGAGGGCTCATTAGGTGCCAGATCAGAAACTCCCATTGACATGGTCACAGATGCCTGCACCAGATGCCTGCACCAGACATACAGCACCAGTAGCAATCTCATGCTCATACCACTCATCAGTATCCTGGAGAGGGATAGACTCAACCTCATCAATGAGATCATGCATGCTGGATTCCATGGCATCATTGAGCTTTGTGATCTTGTTGCACTGAGTCCTGCTTTTCCCACTACGAGAGGATTCCATATTTGCAGCTTCCATCTTCACATGAATGGGGTCATTGCAGGCCTTCCGAAGCTTCCTGGTCTTGGGATCACTGGTAACTGCCTGACTGCAGCCCTCCATGGCACAAATGCTCTCAAGATTTTGGTGCTCAAGGCAGTACCTACAGTGGTTGGTCATCAGTGGGTTTTTGCACTGTGGTATGGCACAACAGGGCTGTCCAATGGTGACACCATCAGTCATGATGACTTTGGTGGACCGCAGCATGCCATCAGGTGAGGTGAAAACTCACATGCACCCATAGCATGCATGGGGGAGTTCTTCTTGACCATGGGTCATGATCAGCTCAGTGCACACATGCATTGCAGCTGTATAGTGATCCTTTTGGTCCCCATCATGGGGGACTTGAAGCCATCCCCTTCACATCTGCTGATGATTAAGCAACAAGACAATCACAAATGTGTCCTAGACCTCTTGCATCATCAGTGAGCTCAAGAACTGCCATGATTTGTTGCACTCTGTGCTGCTACAGGTTTGAGCGATTTCATATAGGCATGTGCAGTTCATTGCTGAAACACTGCAAAGAATGATATTAAACATGGTCGCAAAGTAGTGAAAGAATACTTATGCAATTTGCATAAGATCAATCCACTGCATTGCCAACTCAAGCTTGACAAATTGATGCTCTGTGACCTGTATATGCGATAGTATTCCACCATAGTATGTGCGAGTCTTGTTCTTGACACTGTAATTATGATGATAGTTGGTATTGCATGCTGATTGAGAGTCAGTGAAGATCTTCAGATTTGAGTGGGAGCATTGTACCTTGACATTTCAAGTGAATGGACCATGCAGGGTGTGTGCCACTTGCATGTGTGAAAACAACAACACATTGTTGCTCTTCTTTTTTGAGGAGGGATCTGAGCTGCCAGGCAGTGCACTTGGGATTGATACACATCTTGACCAGAGGATAAAGAACACATGCTGCTATGCCAGAAATTAGTACAGTCCAAGGATAACAGACTCAGACTCACTGAGGCCTAGTGGGTGTCCATGAGTCTTGAAAGAAGCCTCCTCATCAGCTTATTCCTCAGCTGCACTCGGCAAGGTCCACACAAGATCCTTCACAATCTCCCAGAGACAGTCTACTGCATCTACTGATATGTTGAATGACTGAGAGAAAAATGTGGTGATTGAGGGTGGTATGACTTCAGGAGCAATAGTAACAGGCTTGGTGTGAGGCTGCAGCTGGAGAATGTTGTCCTTCAGTAGATGTGCGCATCAGATAAAATGTGTGAGGTCAAGAAGTGACATATCTGCCAATTCATTGTGATGCCATACTGCAGCAAAGAGGGTGCTGATATCTGTGGCGCAGAGACTGCTGGAGATGGAGATGGAGGTGAGACTGCTTGGTGATGACATTTTTGTCCTCCCTCCAATGGCAGCTAGCACATTGACAATGACAACAGGGTGGGTAATGTAGAAGGCAGGATGTGTGACAGCAGCTGACGTAGAAGGTGGGTGGGGCGGTAGTGGTCATGATAATGTAAGAACAACAGACAGCCTAGAACTTGCTGACCAAACACCTCACACCTGTCCCCCATACTGCACCCAAACACTTTGGTGCAGAGTCTGTGCAGACTTCACACAGACTGGCCATTTCCTACATGTCCTCTTGATATTACACAGGAATTTGAGGCAAAATAATGGCAGCTGTTATTTTTGGAAAATCCCATGTAATCCCCAAATAATCCTAATGTAGTGTGTTCATCCTGTTTTCTGCAAATAACCATGCACTATGAGCTAGCTATGCCTAATTGAGCTTATAGGCACCTCATGTACCATTAAGTCCACAGCATGCTCGCAGTATGCCATGGGCACTCATTGTCTTCTCTCACAATGGTGGCAGACATGACATACTGCTGTGCTGACTCAGACATATTATGATGATGGCTGATTTTGTGTCTCAGACGACAATGTTCATAACCTTCAACAATGCTTTGTCTCACTGCCTTGTGGACTTGTGTGACAACTTAATCTCGACTGGTACATAGTCCACCCACCAGACATCAAAGGCTCATCAGTATTCATGCATTAGGTTCCAGGCTGTCAAGTGTGGCAACCACTCCATGGGAGCCCTCTACATGACCTGCTGCAACAATCCTTGTGGTGTCTGCTACCTTACCAAAGAAACCTTTTTGACTATGGTCATCCCTTGACCAAATGAATCAACACTCATGCAACTCAACAAAATAATGGAAAAATTTGTGGTCAAAATGACTAAACTTTATGGTGGTGCATATTCACTCATCTCACTATACATGTACTGACTTTTTATCAAACAGGGTGGGAGTTTTGTATATATGGACATGAAAACAAGTACCCCATCCATTCAGTTCTCAATAGTGAAGTTTCTGATCTTCCAGCAAGTTGCAAAATTGAAGGACTTGCCTCTTGGTGATCTTCGACAGTTGCTCGCAGCATATGGTTTGCTTGGGTGAGTTCTTTGATCTGTGGCTTGAATTCAACTAATTCTCTACTCTGCAGCATCATTTGATCAACCTTCTCAGTGAGGTGCATGACAATAGCATCAAGATTCACAAGTTTATCTGTAAATGCAGCACTAGGAACTCTTGAGCTGGATAGTGATGTTGTAGCTGTGCACTGTGAAGGTTTGGTGTTAGTTGAGAAGCCTGGGTGATGAGCAGGAGGTATGTCAGAAGTTTGAAACTGATGATTGGTGCTGATGATTTGAGAGGTGGTGCTCCTAGTAGATGATGTGCAGTGGGTTCAAATGAACTGTTTGTGCTTGGAGTTACTGAATGTGCTTGACTCACAGTCACTGCATTAGGGGTAGGACCTCGCATGGTTAAAACAGGTCAAGAAGGGGCTGAGACTGGTGTATGCAAAGCAGAAGCACTCCCATGCCCTTGGGGATGCATATATGCTGCATTTCATAGGGGACCACTGTCTTGAATAGGTGTGTGTTCATGGCTGAGTCATTTGGTCAAGGCTGATGTGGAGTCCATATCCTGAAGGCTTGGATCAATGACTTCATCACTGACATCTGCAGTTGCTTGCTCGATCTTGCTCATGGCCTCACTCAAACCCTGATCCATCCACTCCAGCTGCATCCTGCAGGTCAACTCTTTGGATTCAGCAACACTCATTCCTGGGTCAAAGGGTTCTGCTGCTACTGGGTTGTGATGATGCAATGGGGATGGATTGGAAGGCTAACAGCCTGCCCCTTCTGTCCCCTCCCACAGGCTGTGTTCATTTTGAGCTGGATGCATTCCCTGTGGTTTCTGATACCTTCTTCTTTGCCAGTGAACCCAGTTTAGCAGTGCTCAAGGGCTTGAAGGGTGTACCAGAGGGTTTTTTAGACATGTTTCAGTGAGGATCCCACTGTGTTCATGGTTTTGGAAGGCTGCTGGATGCTGATACTGAGCATACAAAATGATTTGGAAGTAGTAAAGGGTAGAATGGGCCAGAATTGATGCAATTGTTGGTACCTAGCATATCATGGCAGATCTGTGTTACTTAGCATACCAAAAATAAACTGTGTCAAATATTCCAGCCATTTGCAGAACACTAGGCCAAAAAATTTCACTACATACATTTGGCAATAAGTTGGGACAACAAACTTTTAACTTCCAATGGACAATCTTGATCTATAACTTGGATAGGATAATACATATCTAAGGAACGAAAGCAAGTTGCTCTACAAATGAGCTTGCTAAATGTCAAGGACCCAACAATTTGTCGTTATACTGGGATTAGTGAGTGGTCATTGCAATACTGTAGAGATACACACCTAACTTCGACATGATCTGAGTGTGACCAACTGAGCATTAGCTTCAAAGCTTCAAAGATGGGTGTGATGTGTGACATCCCCCAATTAGCTTCATTTTGGCTGATGCATGTGTGACACCATGGACTTCAGTCCTTTGCTACCTTCACTCCCATCCAACTTGGAGGATCTGGCATCTTCTCTCTATGTTTCTGCAAAGTCATGTTGATGCAAATCCCCCAATGTTTGAGTCTGATGAGCACAAGCTTGCAATGCATCAAAGTCTCAGTATTTTGTGTCAAAGTTCCCTTTTGCCATCATGCCTTTGAATTTACGCAATGAAATGCAAGGTCTCTTGTCTATCCCTGCACAGTTTAGCACAATTGTTCCTTCCTGCAGCCTCTCTGTTGCTGAGTTGCTTGTCCTTGACCTACCCACAGTGCTAGAACCTGACGCATCATCTGCCAGCTTTGTTTTTTCTAAAGCACTCCCTATGGTGCAGCTTCCTACAGACTTCATTTCATGATCAGCACCTCTGTTTAAACAAGTGTCATTGCTTTGTGACCTTGCTAGCAAGGCTTGGCAAGCAGGAAATTGATCTGTCATCCACCCTTCATTCCCCAGCAACTCGTTTCCTTTCTGGGTCTTGTCATACTGGGCTTCTTTGTCTTATGCACTCGAGCATCAGCATGATTGGTGCATGTCACACAACTGGGTCTTAGACAGACTGGACATTGTTTCAGATGACTCTCTTGAAATTGCAATCATTGACAAAGTTTTAGATGTTATAGAGTGCCTTCCATGGGATGCAGCTATCAAGAGATTTGGTGTGGCAACTAGCAGGCTCTGACCACTGTTAGCATCAGGTTCAATTGGTACTTCCCTTTTGGATGCCATGATAATGGCAATTGTTTGTCACATGCATGTGTCTGATAGTGATGGGGACTTTTGGCAGCCCATGTTGAACAGCTCATTCATGCAGATATACTTTAGCTTGGTGAGGATCAGTGGAAGTACTATGAGAGTGACAGGGCTTTCTCTTGCCCTCATGCCATAGGTTCTGCATTATGTGAAGGAACTCTTCAGTGTGTACTCTTTCCTATCCATATTGATGGTGTTCATTGGGCTGCTATCGAGATCAATGCTGCCAATTGGACCATCTCATATGCTGACTCCATCAGGAAAACCACCAGTTACTTTTCAGGGTTTTTCTTACTTATGTCACTTAATTATGAATAAAACTCAGGACTGTTGCTTTTCAAACTTAATAGACTTTCTTGAAAGTGAATCCAGGGTGTGCTTAAGTTCACAAGCATGAAAAGCAGCAGAACAGAATGAATTGCAATAAGTGTACAATAATGAACCAAACTGCAAAGTCTCCATGTGAGGAATGCATATGATGGTGGCTCCAGCGGCCAGACAGTTCTGTGGCCTACAGAGACCCACTTCTGAGTTGTTGATGGTGTATTTCCCTTTGGACAGGCCATGGGAGCAAATGACTCCTGGAATGAACTCACAAGTTATGGCAACCACTGGCAGAGGACCAAGTGAAATACTGAGGTCCTGTTGCACTTGCAAAACTCATCAGTTGCTGAGTGCTGAGGCCCTGTTGCATTCACCAGACTTGTTGGTCGCCCTTTTGTGACAGTAGTTAGACAGGGTGTACATATAGCAGACAGAATGAACTCACAACAATGAGAAGACAAGAAATAATTAAGACGCAATCTCAAATGCATGATGGTTTGCAAACTTGTTCACATAGAATGCTCGAAAAGCATTATATGAATCATAGTGCTTGAGGTCACATGAAATGAGCTGTGCTCCATAGATTTGGCTGAGGTGTGCAGCACAGTAGATAGAATCAATGTGAATGATTCCAACTGACAGCAAGTGGTCAGTATCAAATGAAGGCTTTACGACCCACATCCTGGTGTCCTCATCAGGCCTGTTGCCATCTTTGGCAAACCAGTGCACTACAGCACAAGGGTACAAAACAGCTTCAAATGTGAATGAGAAAGAATACATGACATGAGCTATCTCCATGCCCCCATCCCTTCAACATCTGCATCTATATTGACAAACACACAGTTGTTCCAGGGTGCCTCATTTTTCCAAACAGGACAGGCATGGATATGCTCATGGCGCATGCTGCCAATCCCACTGCAGTTGCTGGGTGCATAGAATGTTGAGGATGTGGAATTGAAGACTTGAATCTTGCTGTCATATTCCATATGCCAGACATAGATCCCATTATATTCCCACGCTTTCCAGACCTATTTCTGGACCCCATATCCAACTTCTTCCTGGATCCCCTATCCTGTCCACTCTATGCACATTCTGTCCAGCAAGACATCTGGACTTTACCTCCTCTTGGATTCCGGACTACATCCACCACCACCTCACATATCTCAGTCCTGTTTCCACCCCCTGCCTTCCGGATCCCCAGATCTCCAGACCTCTGGATATTAACTGTTACTATCTCCGGACCTATTCCCCACCCTCTATCCGAGATCCTGTGCCTATCCCCATTTAGGCATCTCTGCCTTTCTGGTTCTCGGTTATCTCTGTTTCCGTCTTGCTGATTGATCCTTGTACTAGTTTCATCTCTGAGTTCATTACTTATGTTCCGTCTTACTTACCAATGTGTTTCCGCATGCTCGTACATAGCCTTACTCCTTTGCTTACTGATCTCTCAGATAGCCTCTAGTATATAACCCTGTACAACTACAGTAGAGTCCTCAGTCTGAATATCACCTTAGACTTGCCCAATCTTCTTCTGGACTTCAGTCCATCTGAGTTTGTCCTTTTCCATAAGGCCTAGGGATGGATTCCCTAGGCCGGAATTCTGGACCTTCGGATTTGTCCCCTATGTCTCTGTCCCAAGTCTAGGGATTGCTTCACTAGGCTGGAGTCTTGCCTTTCCGGCACTTACCCTCTCTCTGGACTTTGTCCACTTCCTGTCTCTCTGACTCTACCTAAGGGTAGTCTACCTCTGTTTGCTTCTACATCAGACTTCATCCAATGTAGCCCCTATTCCTTCCAGACCTCTGGACCTCCTGTCCTCTGTACCTCTGGACATCCTGTCCCTCATACCTCCAGGTATCCTGTCCTTCAGACATTCCACCCTCTGTAACCTTTGGACCTCCTGTCCTCCATACTCCGGACCTCCAGACATCCTATCATCTCCATCCTGTTTTCCTGTAGAAGTATTACCTTGCAGCAGGAACTCTCCTGAGCATTTCCTGCATTCCTCCGGAACTCTCCCACGCTCCTCTGGACATTTCCGCCTCCTCCGGAAGTCCTCCTGCACTCTCCACCAGAGTAGCCAGCCTCCGGAAGTCCTCTGGACTTCGTTGGACCATCATTGGACTTCATCTGAAATGAAGGGCACATACTTGGGTAAGGGGCACAGTGTATGAGCTGAGGCCAAGCCCCTCTGAGTCAGTCTCTCTCCCCTTTGAGCATGGTTCTTAACAGTGACACACATTGTTTCAAATGTTCCCAATTGATACATACAAAGGATAGTAATCATTGGTGCCAGTCGCCACTGAAACTGTGATCTTGTCACTTCCAAGTATAACCAGCACAAATGTTGAGCCAACTGTATCTGGATCTTTTGAAATGATATCCTACCAAAGATTGTCAGCATATGTAGCTACTACAGAAAACAATAAAAAATATACTGCTTGGTTCCAAGCCCAGTCTCTGGACATGAAGTCCTGCCATTGATGTTCATTGCCATCAGCTGAGTACTCATGGTAAGGCTGATAATCCATCTCTGTAGCATAGTCTGGATTCCCCAAAATGTTCTGAATCACTTCATGGGGGTCATGGTACCAAACATCATGAGACTGATCCATCCACAGCAGGACATTATGTGTTGGCTTCTGGCCAGTGTACTGTACCTTGAATGATTGCCATTTGATGTCACCCAATGGTGTGTGGTCAATATTTTTGTGTACATTGTGGCAGTCTGCAAACAGGGGCTTGTTGTTGTGTTGCAGAAGGGTTGCAGCCCAAAGATCTAGTAACACATTAATGTCCCCAGCGGACATTTGGTTGTGCATGTATAGGAATTTGGCAGTCTCAAACTTGACACAATTCTGGTATGAAGACCAGTTGTCAGGTGACCTGTTGGGAGGTGGTGCTGGAGGTGCTCCATCTTCAAGGAAGTGTCCTGTCATATCACAAGGATGTGCTTAAATCAAATCATGTTAGTCATAACACACTGAAAAAGCTTCAAGGACAGTACCTTTTAGTCTGGGATGGTAGTTGTGGTATAATCTGTTGCTTGGCCCAAAAAAATCTGTATCAATGTTGGCCAGATTACGAGGCTCATTGAGTGCATGATGCATGTTGAATAAATCTGTGGAAAGGTTGTCATTGCCTGTCGAGAAGTTTTCATTGCCTGCAGGGAAATTTTCATCACCCATGAATAAGTCTGGTTCATCTTTGTCTGTGGCAGTGGCATGCAGGACACTGGGGGCAGTTGCTTGTCTAAATGTTTGGTGGGAAGCATTCCAGTGCTTTTTGTGCCCTCCTTGAGTCTTGAAGTGCTGCATGCAGTGTAAGTAGCTGCATGGAATTTGATGGGCATTGTGATCCTTGTGAATGCTCTGAGACATCTCCAGCTGTAAAATAAAACAAGCCCTTGATAATGGTTGTTGGTAGAGAAGTGCTGGGGGGTGTAATACTAAAGTAAGTTAAACTGACATTTCAACAGACCCCAAATTGTGAGTGCTATGGCAGGCACCTGTTGTGGGTGGGACTTACAGTTTATTTTCAACTTCCAAACTCACTTTCTACTTGTCTCCCACTCCAGCAAAAGTACTGCACCTCATCTCACTCATCCACACAGTGATGTCTACCAAAGATACTTCCTGCTGCACCTGTGCATCAAATGCAACTACCTGACCTGGTCAAATAGTGCTTGATGCACAGGTCAAGAGGCGTACCAAAGCACAGAAGGCTGCCAATGACCTTGCCATCAAGGAAGCCAAAGAAGCAGCAGTCCAAAAGAGAGTTGAGCACCTCACTGGTATGCAGGTTGAGATGGAGAAGGCACAGAAGGGATTACTCACCAAAAAGCAACCCCAGTTTGGTGCAAGCCAAAGCCTTGAAAGCAACAAAGAATGCTGTAAAGGGTGGTGACAATTGTACTAACAGTGCATTGGATGACCTACCAGAGGCTGATGTGACAGACAACCACCAGGAGGCTGCCTCAGGTGCAGACCATGGAACCTCAGGAAAAGAGAAGAAGGCCACTGTGAAGAGAAGTGGAAAGATGTTGATTAGAGACACCATCAGTAATGTGCAAAAGAAGATCAGTGAGTCATAAGAAGGCCATGATAATGCCAACAATAAGGCACCATGTGCTGATGGGAAAGACATGTCATCATTGTAAGCCTGCTCTTTGTTCTTCCACTATAACAATGTTGCTCCTCACTGAATCAACCTTGTTTTTTCTCAATCTTACTTCCAGCATCAATGCCACCACAGAGAAATTCGCACTAGGTGGCTGAGTGACCAACTGGGTCTCAAGGGTCAGGCCTGCACAATCAGAGCTACCATCTGGTTCAGCCAGTAGTATTTCAACTCGGGCACCTCCAACATTCATTTTCTCACACAGTACTGCCTCTTCTGCAGCCACTTTGGCCACTCAGCCCCAGACTCCAATTCTCCTGGTTCCAGCAAAAATCACTGATGACATCCCAGAAGATGCCCTTACTGGCAGCTTTGCTGATGAGATCGATGATTCTTTGGAGCACAAGGCTGCTTGCTTTGAGAGCAAGCAAAACAAGGGAAAATCCAAGGTAATCAGTTGTCATTTATTGGTGTAGTCTACTAATGATTCGCTTCATAGGTAGCCTCAATCTTTGACAATGACTCAGACTTTGAAGGACCTAAGGCTCCCTTCATGCAAATACTACCAATAGAATTTGACTCGGAGGATGAGCTTGTGACTTTGTTCTCAGATGAGGGCAAGGACTCACAGGAGCCCACTAACTTGAAGGCTCTGACCACAAGGACACTCAAGTGCAAAGCTAGTGCAGATTCCCTCATGGATGACAACAAGGAGTCTGTGACATCCAAGTGGTCCATGGACATTGATCACAATGCCATGCTAGAACTTGCTGAGGACTTGATTGAGGACTCTGACGGCAAATCTCCACAGCCTGAACCTATTGTTATCAAGAAGGAGAAGGTTGTGTGGACAACAACTTCAGTAAGTACCCTGAACTTATTAGTGCTCATTCTGACACTTGTCCAGACATCCACTATGACTTCAATTGCTGACGGCAAGCTGGTGCCTGTTCATAAAAAGGTCAAAGTTGAATCTTCTGGAACTGTTGGTGCCTGTGGCACTGCAGGCAGTCATGCTGCTAAATTTCAGCAGAACGTAGATACTATACCAGAGCAAATGAAAACATGCAGTGCCTATCATACTGTCAATTTGCCTTCAGCAATGCAAGCCAACCAGCACTGGGTGAAGAAATTTCTCCCAACGATTATGCTGTGGGCTGGAAGCTACGAAGACATCTGGATTATCCCAGATGATGTCCTTCTCCATCATGCTCAACTTGTTTTTGATGCAGTATACAAAGAGCTTAACATTGCTCTTGCTCATGGTGGCATGGTACATTTGCTTGTAAGTCCCCCTGTTATATCTACTTTCAGTGATTAATATATAATCAGACTGTGCAGTGCATCTCAGAATGGCGTACTAACTTTGGCTCAACAGCCATTGTTATTGTCATGGACTTTATGACATGGAATTCTGACTGTGCTCCTAGTGAACTCATAACTTCCCTTCTCAATGAATGGGCCTTCTTATTTGAGAACCCTGACAGTCCATCTCCCCTCATAGCATACTGCTCTCCCTTCATATTGCAGCTGTTTGGCACAGCCCACCTCAACACCATCAAAGGGTATGTGAATGTTCCCTCCTTTGACATGCATGCACTCGCAACAAGTGGGATGTCACAGGTCCTTGCCCTCTCTGCGATAGCGGTGAGTTCAAACAGCTTGATCACACAGATCCCCACTCATGTTTTTTTAGGTCGAGCATGCACTCAAGATGATCAAGAAAAAAGAACTCAAGGTTCAAGATGTTTTGTCATTGACATCACAAGGCAAAGCAACCATCAAGCTACCAAAGGTTCTCAACAAGATTATGAGGAAGGAGTCCAGTGTTCATGTTTTATTTTCAGCAGCTCTGTGGTCCAAACCAACCAAGGCATTCACCAAGTCCATTTTGAGCAAGCCTGCTGGGTACGTGGAGGCCACAATAGAGATGGCACGTGCAACAGCCAGTGATGTCACTGAAACACCAGTGGGCTCATTTGACAATGGTGAGTCAGATGATGATGAGTGAGCCATGACTTGTGAGTGTAAATCCATCCAGGTGTTATCTCACTGATGGCCCTTGCTGCAGGATTTTGCCTTTGTCACCATAACTGCATGAAGGTCACTGTCAGCTTTCTGCCACTGTGATCTTTTTGTTGCTGTCATTTTCCATCACTGTCATGTTTTCTGTTGCTATCATGTTTTCCACCACTATCATGTTTCCACTCCTTCCACTTTTTGCTTGCATTGTTACTTAATTCTACGCTTATTACACTTCATGTATGCCCTTTTTTTCTACTATCAAAGGCTTGTGCTGCTTTCTTTGCTTTCTTTAAGTACAATAAGTGTGAATTAAGTAAAAATCCAGAGGATGAGTGGGCTTAATTAAGTGACTCACACTTTTCGCTCAAATGACTTATATGTTCCTTTTCATGTAATTAAGTGAGAAATAAAGTAAACTAAGCAACTGGTGGTTTTCCTGATGTCCCTTGGGTGGAGCTTGCCTACTCATGATTTTGATGCCATTTGTCATTGGTTGGGCTATCATGACCTCTCTGCATTTGACAAGGCAAACACACTCAAGCATGGTGAACAGCTGGACTCGTTCTCATGTGGAATCGCAGTCATGAACACCATCAAGCACACATTATTTTGTGACCCCCTGTTCACCAATGATAGAGTATTCTGCCTCCACATGGAGGAGTTTCTGAATCTCACTGATGAGCATCTCGAGGTCTGAACATCTCATTCTAAGTGACAAAAATTTGCTAATGAATGCTATCATCTACAGCTCTCAGGCTCTATGGTGGATAGTAGTACTGAAAGTGAGGATGAACATTCAGATGGCTCAGATACAGAGAGTGAGGATGAATTTGAAGAAACTCATGCAAAAATGCAGCAATCCCTGGTGTCCACACCCAAACTGAAACTTGATCTCCATATGGGTGTAGACCATAGCAAGGGCCTGTTCAAGTTTTTCCTGAAGATTTCATGTGAGGAGCATTTACAGTGTGCTTGGATACCTTTCTCTTGGGAACTCAAGGACCAGGAGTGGGATCATCATCAGCAACAATTTGACAAGTTTGAGAAGGCTGCTCACAAGTGGGAAAGGGCAGCTGAGCATAAGAGAAAACAGCAAGCATGTGAGAAGGCTGCAAAGCAGGTAAGATTTCATTTTCTTCTCATCTCTTCATAGCTCATGATCTCCTGTCAGAAACCTACCATCAATTCCACTCTTCATGACAGCACTCCCCAATGACCAGCAATTAGCATCACAGAGGCTTCATGTCCATACTGTCAATTGCAAAGACATGCTTGTAGCATGCAGACACACAACTTAGGATGGAAGTGCAAGCAGGAGGACATGGAGGCTTTGCATGTCAACTGGCAGAGCCCCCTTCTATGGCCAACTATTGAAACAGCTGCTCTTTGTGTTGGCTATGCAATGTCACCAGTGGAGATTGAGTGTGAGCTTAAGCGAGTTGATCCCACCCACTTTCGCCACATCTCTGCACAACTTATAGGAAGCTGGATTGACTGTCACAGTGGAACATGACCTGTGTGGCATGTCAGTGTCCTTGCCTGTGTTCAAAAGGGCAATCTTCCATTGATGACTGCTACACCACCTGGTATCCTCTCAAAGTATCCAAATGTCATGAAGACCATTATAGAAGATCTGCATTCTCTGCGCACTGTCGGTGTTGCTCTAGACACAATGCATTGTCATGGTGTGATCATCACTCACCTCACGGTCTCATGCCCTGATGTATTTGAGGTTGTTGCCAAGGACAGCTCACACTTCCAATGCACTGAGTCTTGGGTCAAGAAATTTGTAGTGCAGAATCTCAACTGGTCATTTCATTGTGCCACTCGCACTGCACAGAAGACCCCTTCCAATGCCAATCAACTCTGTCTAGACCAATTTTATCATTTGACTTTAACTATTCACAACTGTGCAATCTTTCACCCTTGCTTTTATGTCAACATTGACCAGACAAACATTGTGTATCAACTGGCAAACACTGCTACATATGAAGAAGTTGGTTCCAAGCAAGTTGCTGTCATTGGACAGGAGGAAAAACGAGCATTCACTGTGGTAGTTGGCATCTCTGTTTCTGGGGATGCTCTGCCATTCCAGGTCATCTATTGTGGAAAAACTGTGTGGTCCCTCCCTGCAAAAACCACACCACAATTCAAGGAAGTGCAAGACTTAGGCTTCAAGTTGTGCTTTTTAAGTACTGATACATACTGGTCCACATTTGAGCTCATGTGCGACTATGTTCGTGACATCCTTGTTCCTTACTGGACAAGACAAAAGGAGCATGTCAGTGCATCTGATGACCAAGAATGCATCCTGCAGCTGGATGTCTGGTTAGTGCATAAGTCTATCCAGTTTCGCACTTGGCTCAATCAGCATTATTCATGGATCAAGTATTATTTTGTTCCTGGTTATTAAGAATCATGCTCAAAGGAGAGAGAGACTGACTCAGAGGGGCTTGGCCTCAGCTCATATGCTGTGCCCCTTACCCAAGTATGTGCCCTTCATTTCAGAGGAAGTCCAAAGATGGTCCGACAAAGTCTGGAGGACTTCTGGAGGAGTGCAGGAGAGTTCTGGAGGAATGCAGGAAGTGCTCAGGAGAGTTCCCACTGCAAGGTAGTACTTCTACAGGAAACAGGATGGAAGGGTAGGATGTCCAGAGGTATGGAGGACAGGAGGACTGAAGGTCCAGAGGACAGGATGTCTGAGGGTTAGGAGGATAGGATGTCCGAAGGTACAGAGGGCAGAACGTCCAAAGGACAGGAGGTCTGGAGGTCCAGAAGGAATAGGGGCTACATCGGATGAAGTCCAATGTAGAAGCAAACAGAGGTAGACTACCCTTAGGTAGAGTTGGAAAGACAGGAAGTGGACCAAAGTCCAGAGGTGCCAGAAAGGCAAGACTCCAGCCTAGGGAAGCAATCCCTAGACTTGGGACAGAGACATAGGGGACAAATCTGAAGGTCCAGAATTCCAGCCTAGGGAATCCATCCCTAGGCCTTATGGAAATGGACAAACTCAGATGGACTGAAGTCCAGAAGAAGATTGGGCAAGTCTAAGTTGATATTCAGACTAAGGAAACTACAGGAGTATCTACAGGGGTTATATACTGGAGAATATCTGAGGGGATCAGTAAGCAACAGAGTAAGGCTATGTACGAGCATGTGGAAACACATTGGTAAGTAAGACAGAACATAAGTAAATGAATTCAGAGATGAAGACTTGTACAAGGATCAATCAGCAAGACAGAAACAGAGATAACCAAGAACCGGAAAGGTGGAGATGCCTAAATGGGGATAGGTGCAGGATCTCGGATAGAGGGCAGGAATAGGTCTGGAGATAGTAACAGTTAATATCTGGAGGTGGTGGATGTAGTCCAGAATCTGAGAGGAGGTAAAGTCCAGATGTCTTGCTGGACAGAATGTGTGTAGGGTGGACAGGATAGGGGATCCAGGAATGAGTCAGATATGGGGTCCGGAAATAGGTCCGGAAAGCGTGGGAATATGATGGGATCTATATCTGGCATATGGGATATGACACCGGTAGTTGCACTGGCATTGCCCAACCATACAATGTTGGCATCCAGCGCCCATTCAAGCTTGCCATCAAGAGATCTCAGCATGCTGACATTGTTGAAGAGTCTTTATCATTGCTAAAGAAAGATGAAGCTGCCTCCATTATTCAACTGGACACAACATTACCTACACTCCACAATAGATCTTTGCATTGGCTCATCAATGGTTACCATGCTATTCACAAGCCTGATATCGTCAAACAGGTGCATCTTTCTCAGTGTCATTGTTACTCTCATTGATATAAACATTGTTGGGCATTTTTTCAATGCAAGGCCAGCACTGCATTCAACCTGTCCTTTGAGAGCCTGACCAGCCATGAAGCCCTTCAAGCACTCCACAAAGTGCAGAAGAACAATATTGAGGTGTGAGAGCAAATCAAGACAGCTCAGTACAGGGTTGAAAAATCAGCATCAGACAAGGAAGCAGAGCTGCCATTCCCACATGCTGCTGACATCAATCTTGATCCTTGTGATGTTCCTGTGGATGCTGTTCTACAACACATCGCATCAGGTGAATCATCAGCTCCTCAGGGCTACAGTGCTGACAAATCAGGCAATCTGGTAGCACACAACAGGTCGGAGAGCTATGAGCAAGAGGGAGTAAATGATGGGTTGGTGGCACTACCAGTGGACAATCATGATATTGATGATATTGAGAATGGTCGAGGAAAATGCAGACGCACTGCAAATTCTCGATACAACAACTTTTGGCAACGTTGATAATGTCCTATACGTTTTTTTTGTATTTTGACAATGTGTCACAAATTACCTTCAATGACCTTGAATTCATGTGATGGTCACTTGAAATAGCTTCAATTTGTTGGGCCTGTGATGGTGTGATGAAGTTAGGTGCGTATCTCTACAGTATCTTTGGAAGGCATATTGGGAGACTGGCGAAGTTGTGAGGACACTGATTTGTGCAGGTCAACCCTGCATCCTCAATAGTCTCAATGCAAATGTGAGTTATTATTTATTCTCAGTACTACTTATATGTTATTTCTCAGTTCCTTGAGGCATGTATTGAGTGGCAACCAGATATTCTCCTCACTGAGATGCAAGATCAACTGCAGGAGACTTGTGGTGTCAAAGTTTTGATTGCAACAATTTCAAGAATGATATGTAGGCAAGGGTTTACATGGAAGAAGGTATGTCATCACTCATGTCCTTACTGATATGTATGATTCAATACAGCACTATCTAGGTTGCACATCCTTCTGTCAAACACAACAAAGATGATTGAGCTGCCTATATGATGCTTGTGGGGGAACATTTCCAGCCAGAGCACCTTGTATTTGCAGATGAGTGTCATTTCAACAGGATTTCTTCATGTCATGATTTTGCTTGGGCTCCTATTGGAAGGCATGTGCAATGGCAGGATTTTTTCATATGTGGCAAAAGGTACTTTTTCAGAAACTCTCTCATCAGTGCCTTGACATTTTGTTAGATATTCAATTCTTCTGGCTGTCACTTGATGGTATCCTCCACTTGGAGGTTTTAGATCATTCATTCTCTGGTGAAGAATTTGGGGATTTTGTTGCTGGTGTATTGGACCAAATGCAGCCCTGGCCCATGCCAAACTCAGTGTTAGTCATGGACAACACAAGTATCCACAAAGTCCAAGGTATTTGTGAGATGGTTGAAGAGCGGTGCATTATCCTTATTTCCTGCTCAAACAATACTGATTTCTCTTTTTTTTGTAGTGGCATGTGGCTCCTGTACTTGCCTTCTTATTCACCTGATTTAAATCCTATTGAGGAGGTATTTTCAGCTATCAAGGTATGGCTTCAGTCAAACTGTGACTATGTACTTGGGGAGACCAAGGGTCCAGCCTGTGATCCATATGTGTTGATATGGGAAGCTGTATATGGCGTTGTTACAAGTGAAAAGGCTCATGGCTGGTACAAGCATAGTGAATACATTGCATAGAGAGTGCACTTTTTACTGATTTTGTGCAAGTACCTTGCAGGTGTGTTGAAACTGCTGGCAGGTGCTATTTTACTAAGTGGTTAGTTTGTATCACTGATTGACAGCTTAGGTCAGGAATTCTCCATCCCCCTCAGTCTTGTCACCTGCTCTCATACTTGTCATACTTGCCACTTCCATACTCCAATTCTCCTTCCTGCCACATATCATATTCAGTCTCAATAGCATGTTCCTTCCCTTTGTCCTGAGTCCCTGAGCTAGGTGCTTCTGGCTCCTTGTAGGAATTGAGGAGTCCAAGGAGTGGCAGAACTATCTGTTTAGCGAAATTGCAGAGGATTCTGGCTTGATTTTGCCCCATATCACCAATGACACTCAACACATCCTCCAGTAAAAGCATTACTTGGCTCGACAAAACCACCCCTGCATCTAGCAGGGATGTTTCAAGTTCATGAATTTGCAGTTCTGGTCTTTTGGCATCAATCAGCGCAAGCAACACCCCAATTTTTGGATAGTCTGGCAGCATTGTGTTAGGGATCTGGGCTGCAGACTTAAAGTCACACTGTTGTGAAAGCAGTGGAGGACTAGGAGTCTTTGATGTGGAAGCTATGGTAGGATCAGCTGTTATATTTTGTATGGTGACATGGACTTCAGGTGATGATCCTGACCTTGAGTGACAAGGCTTTTTGTTATGATCAAGCTAAGTCTGTAGGTGTGCAAACAAAGCAAGTGAGTAACATAGAACTTGGATTAGGGCTCGCACCAAGCCTGCTGCTACCAGTGAGTGTTCATAGGTATGAGTTTACAGCAATTGATCTAGCTGTGAAGGCTACAATCAATTATTAATGATTACGATGGCAAGTTGTCAATTGTTCTCTTCACAAGGCTAGAGATGTTGGCAGCAACGAGCTCCAATGAAAGTACTTGCTAAAGAGGAGAGCTTGCTTAGGGCTCAAAGGGTAGGCAGTTATGAACCAAGTAGATTCAAGTTAGAGAATACAAGTGCTACCCATAAAGTATATATACTGTTGGAAGGGATAAGGGCAGGTCTGCCATATTAGTGGTAAGGGTAGAGGGCAAGTTGAGTCACAAGCGAGTCAAGATACCAAAGTAAGTAGAAAGTACCAGTTGAGTGGTAAGGGTAAAGGGGACATGAGTCATGGTGAGTCATGACAAGTCAGAATACCATAGTAAGTAAGAAGTACTGGTTAAGCGGTAAGGGCATAGGGTCAGTGAGTCATTGGATGAACCAAGGATAAGGTACAACCAACAGAATGGTCAGTGGGATGATCAAGAGAAAGAGATAGAACAGTCAAGAAGGAAAAGAGGGGTGATTTCCTGAAGAGGAAAGAGTCCAGCGAGGGCATGAGCAAGGAAAACTGAATAGGGGCTAAACAAGTGGATGTTACTGTAACACTTTTTGTTGGCTGGGCCATGGTTGAAATTGAGGCAGTGAGGTGGGTTGTAAATCGTTGCATGACCAAGAGCCTAAGGGTATTTTTATTTGTTTCGCAAGCATGGACATGAAACTTACAATCTTTTTAGCCCAGAGAGTCATCTTGGCATGATTAAGATGACAATGGTTATCATAGCCACTGGTGTGATCTATGAAACAATGGCCATGGTGAAGCTCACATTGAATGTGGCACTCGAGCTGTTTGTATGCTTTGAGCTGTGTGGAATCCTTGTCAATCACTGGAGGAATATCATCTTCATGTGTCCTCTTCTTCACTTTGGTGGTAGTCTGTTTGGCCTTGGAGTAACTGTAAGTAATTTTTGATTGATGCAACATAAATAATCACTTACTGCTGCATTCTTTACCTCTAAAGCAATGACTTGTGTACATGCATTGGACACTTTGTGACAAAGTCGATCCATAGCAATACCAAATGCTTCCACATTGTTTAGGTGAGAAGCTTTGCTGTTATCACCTATGAACTTACAGTGGCTCAAAAAAGTGTCTGAATGTTTATGCATTTCAAGTAATTGGATAATAGCAAGCCAGCACCTGAGTACAATATAAAGGCATAGGGACATGTCTAAAAGCTTAACATCATAGCTATAATCTGAAATATATATCGTGGGAACTAGACCATATATGGGCAAGATATGGTAATTCTAATCACATGACTCATTCAGACACTTTTTTGACTTTATATCCAAATCACAAAATCCAACCATTCACAGATATTATTCTTAATAGAAGTGGTGCAATAATGAATATTTGGTCTTATTTTAATATTATTTATATATATGAACCCACATAACATCATGAACTTTAACATAATCATCATACAGCCCATCTCCTCTGCTCCAAAGGATAATATCCTTATTCTCTGCTCCTCTAGTTTGTCTATGAGGCAAATTGCTTCCAAAACTGGTCCCAGCAAGTCTACTATTGCTATAGTTATGCTGGCAATGATAGAACATTGATCTCATGAGCTTTGAGCCATTTTGTAGCTAGCTTTGAGATAGGCTTGGAGTCATTATCCAGTTGGAAGATAATGTCTTCATCAATTCCTGACTTCTGCATGCTTCTGAGTAGACACTCCTCTAGAATGGAGATTTACTGCTCTACATTCATCCCTCCTTCCACCTCACAAAGAATCCTCACACCATTCCATCTCCTACAACCCCTACCATCATACTTCATTTTCCAAACTTTAGTATATTCTTGACTTCTCTTTGTCCTAATGGTTCCCCTACCTTTTTTTGACACATATTCCAGGCCATCTGACCCCATTCTATTGACTTTTATCTCATATGACCAAACTACCTTCTTCCAGTCTTCCACAGTCCAATGTTGGTGTTAAGAACCATGTTGCTCAAGGGGGAGAGAGACTGACTCAGAGGGGCTTGGCCTCAGCTCATACACTGTGCCCCTTACCCAAGTATGTGCCCTTCATTTCATACGAGGTCCAATGATGGTCCGACGAAGTCCAGAGGACTTCCAGAGGCTGGCTACTCTGCTGGAGAGCACTAGAGGACTTCTGGAGGAGCATGGGAAACATCTGGAGGAGTGTGGGAGAGTTCCAGAGGAATACAGGAAGTGCTCAGGAGAGTTCCCACTGCAAGGTAATACTTCTACCAGAAACAGGATGGAAGGATAGGAGGTCTGAAGGTCTGGAGGACAGGAGGACAGGAGGACAGGAGGACAGGAGGACAGGAGGACAGGAGGACAGGAGGACAGGAGGACAGGAGGACAGGAGGGCAGGATGATGGAGGACAGAAGGACAGGATGTCTGAGGGTTAGGAGGATGGAATGTCTGAAGGTATGGAGGGCAGAACATCTGAAGGTATGGAGGGTGGAATGTCCAAAGGACAGGATGCCCAGAGGTATGAGGGATAGGAGGTCCAGAGGTCTGGAAGGAATAGGGGCTACATTGGATGGAGTCCGATGTAGAAACAAACAGAGGTAGAGTTGGAGAGACAGGGATTGGACCTAAGTCTAGAAAGAAGGTAAGTGCTGGAAAGGTGGAGCTCCAGCCTAGGGAATCAATCCCTAGGTCTGATGGGTAGGACAGACTTAGGTGGACCAAAGTCCAAGAGAGGATTGGGCAAGTCTAAGTTGATATTCAAACTAAAGAACTACAGGAGTATCTACAGGGGTTATATACTGAACAATATCTGAGGGGATCAGTAAGCAAAGGAGCAAGGTTGTGTATGAGCATGTGGAAACACATTAGTAAGTAAGTCAGAACATAAGTAAATGAACTTGGAGATGAGGACTCGTACAAGGATCAATAAGCAAGACAGAACAAGAGGTAACCAAAAGCTGGAAGGCAGAGAATGCCTAAATGGGGATAGGCACAGGATATCAGACAGAGGGTGGGAATAGGTCTGGAGTTAATATCTGGAGGTCTGGGGATCCAGAAGACAAGGTGGATACAGGACTGGGATATGAGAAGGTGGATAGAGTCCAGAATCCAAGATGAGGTGAAGTCCAGATGTCTTGCTGGATGGAGTGTACATAGGGTGGATGGGACAGGGGGTTATGGTCCAGGCTAGCAGTGGAGATCCGATGCAGAGCTCAGGGGTAAATCCGGAGTGTAGTCAATCCTGCTGAGGTGTGGAGCACACAGCAGAAGGGGATCTGGGAATGAGTTGGATATGAAGTGTGGTCTGGACATAGGCTCAGAAGGCGTGGGAATATGATAGAATGTGGGTCCAGATTGTGGGATATGACAGTTGGTGCTTTAGGGCAAAGGCCCCTATAGGCTGCTGAAAGAAAAGGCATTTTCTTCTTGGTTGCAGCCATAAGATTGACTGCCTTAAGGGTGTTTCTGACTGTTTGGGTTGGAATGGGAGTGGGGATAATGGAATTGATGAACTTGGTGGCATGGACAGCATTTGAAGCCTTGCCAGATAGACTTCAATGAACAATAGCTCTTTTATGCTGTAGAGTAAACTTGGAAGAACATCCCATTTTATGATTTTCCTCCTCTAGCATGTTCTGGTTTATGACTATAGCAATAGTAGACTTGCTGGGACCAGTTTTGGAAGCAATTTGCCTCATAGACAAACTAGAGGAGCAGAGAATAAGGATATTATCCTTTGGAGCAGAGGAGATGGGCTGTATGATGATTATGTTAAAGTTCATGATGTTATGTGGGTTCATATATATAAATAATATTAAAATAAGACCAAATATTCATTATTGCACCACTTCTATTAAGAATAATATCTGTGAATGGTTGGATTTTGTGATTTGAATATAAAGTCAAAAAAGTGTCTGAATGAATCATGTGATTAGAATTACCATATCTTGCCCATATATGGTCTAGTTCCCACGATATATATCTCAGATTATAGCTATGATGTTAAGCTTTTAGACATGTCCCTATGCCTTTATATTGTACTCAGGTGCTGGCTTGCTATTATCCAATTACTTGAAAATGCATAAACATTCAGACACTTTTTTGAGCCACTGTATACACAAGCTGGACTTTTTCAGGAGCATTGAGGTATGTAATAACACAACTTTTGAAGTCATCCCAAGGCATGTCAGTCTTGCCATGAAATCCACACTTCATGTCACCTGTAATAATGTCAATGTCGAAACTAAAAACTCCAGGGTGGTAGGATTGGTTCAGGATTTGGTTGCAGTCTTGCTGATACTTGGGATGATGCTGGGGCTTTTGATGATGCCTGGGATGGTTCTGGGGTTGGATCCAACTGCATTGGAGGGTACTCTGGAGCTGGAACTTCCAGTTGCATCCTCACCTGTTGCATTGGAAGATACTGCTGGTACAGAGGCTGGCCAGTGTGAATGAAGTGTGGTAAATAATACTGATGCTGCAAAGGTGGCGGATAGTGCTGTGGTATGTGCGGCATTTGCAGATAATGTTGTATGAAAGGTTGCTGATGATGTGCTGGCAGCTGTGGATAGTGATGAGGATACTGATGCAGGTTGTGAATATTGCCTGTGCCAGACTGACTTGGAGGGGTACTTGACATAGTAAGTGAGGATGGGCTTGTGAGGATGGGCTTCAAGTTTGTGTATCAAGTGGTTCTTATAGTTTTTTTCACAGTATTACACCATAATATTTACATGCCCATACACCTGCAGCACACTGTCCATCGGCACAAAAAATGGTTGCTATTTTTTATGAGTCGATCTTGCTGTTGGGTTCCAAGTACATAGACCATGCTAGATAATATATGTGTGTGTTGGTATGAATTACCTAATCGCACATCTTCTCCAATCATGTCACAGTCAATAACGACACCTGTAACTCCCCCAACAAGAGGCCTTGTCCTCCCCTGTCCCACTTCTCCATCCAAAGCCTCTTTCTCTTATAAGATGACAGTGGGCAATGAAGTCTCTGATGATACACTGAAATTGTGCACCAATTTGTTCAGTTCTAACTATGGTATTTGGGGTGATCAGGCAGCTACAATCTCCAAATTTACTGTAGCTTGTCAGTAGTCAAGATATTGATCATTGGCCATTGCTAAATCATTTACACAGGGAAACAGGTCAAGATGACTGGTGCAAGTGTTAAGGTCATACTCAAGGCTAAATGTATCCTAAGGGCTTCAGCCTCAGCTCGTACACTGTGCCCCTTACTCAAGTATTGCCCCTTATTTCAGGAAGACAAGACTAACACATCCAGAGGGTCGGACAAGTAGCATAGTGGATCCAGATGACTTCCAGATGCAGGATAAGTATCATAAGGCTAATCCAGACAAGTCCAGACTAGAAACTAATGGTAGTGGACTGTCATAGACAGAGGCAGATACGGATAGACTATAAGAATAAATCCTAAGTCTCAGAGGGTGACAAGAGTAGAGATACTCAGGTCCAGAGGACAGGAATGAGCAGAACTAAGTTGATATTTGAACTAAGGTGTTACAGAGATTCACAGGAGGTTATATACTATAGGTATCTAACAGAATGATCAATCAGCAAGGTCCAAGGCTATGTACGAAGCATATGGATAGTCTATTGGTAAGTAGAAACAGATCACAAATAGTGAAATGGAAATGAAGCATAGGTAACAGATCAGTGAGCAGGATGGATATACAGATAACTGAAATACCAGAGTTAGGGGATTACCGAAAGGAGATGAGCACTGGTTGTGGATTCAGATGAATTGTGGACCAGACCAGATGAGTGGCAGATTGGATGATGAGATGTTGGAGGGATAATAATAGATGATGGATTGGATCTGAGATCCAGATATGCAGATATGACAGCAAGACTACGATCCCAATGTTTGTCTCACCCAGAGAGTAGTGTTTTGGTAACCTGCTACATCCAAGTTGATCCACTTGAGAGTGAGTGTCCTCAACTTTACGGACACACATTTGCCACAGTCTGGGACTATGGTGAAAATAAAGGTGGTTATCTCAATTTATTGCAAAGCTCACCTTCTGATTTTGTTAAGTTGGCTGGGTGACGCAGCTTGTCATCAATGAAGCAGTCCATCAGCGTTACATCACAACCCACCTCTTGCAAGCTCTGAAGTGCCATACCTTATTTGCCTGTGTTAACATCATTGGTCTCAGTTTCATCTCACCCTGCTGCTTGCAATGCTTTGGCGAAATATGCTGGTGAGTTATCACCCTCATTATATTCAGATGTTAATACTACAATTATGAAGCTGCTAATATCAAGGATGTTAAATTGGACTTCATTCATCAACATGCAAAGGGCATTCTGGCATCTTCCCCCATTAGCTATCTAAAGGCCACTCAACTGAGGGGTTCACTCTTCCAAGACAGCTGTGACAATGGAGCTATATCATCTGTGTTCACTGAGTTTTATGTTGACCACACTGAGCCTTTAGCAGTGTTGGAACAGTATAAGAAAAAAGGTCAATGGTGCTTGGGTGAGCTTCTCGACAGACATGAATTTCTTGCTGTTTTTCCTATTGCACCCATGAGCCCAGTTCATGATGATAACTAGCATACCCTACATATCTGATCAGAGAGTAGAAGTTGAAATACTGCTGTGTATGTAGTGAAATTTTTTTGGCCTAGTGTTCTGCAAATGGCTGTCAAGGAAAACCAAAGACTTTATTCAGGGAATATGTACTGTAAACTGGGACTAAACATGAGATAATCGTTTTGGCATTATTCTATGTTTATCTCATGTTTATCTGCATATTATTCAGGATTTCCCCCACATATTCCCCTCCCATTATTTCCCTTCAAAGTGCGGTGTTAGTGTTACTCAAAACAAAATTTGAAACTTTTGAAAACTCACTTAGATGCCAGCTAAACACTTCAAACTCCTGGCTAAAGTTTGCTCAAGAACAGTTGAATCATGCTCAGTGCACTTCAGCACAAAATCAGACATTCAAAGACTTAGCATTTTCAAAGTGTGCTATAACCCATCTATTTACTAGAGTGCCTCCCATCCTCCCTGGTTCATAACAGAGTCCTCACCTAACCATGTCCATGGTTGTGCACGCAGTTTATAACCCATCTACTTGCTAGAGCACCCCTGTCCTCCCCAGTTCATGACCTGTCTATCTCATATTGTCTGCCCTAGTTAGTCTATAATGTCTTTGTGGTCTGCCCTACACAACATATGGTCCTCCCTACTTAGGTTATAATGGCGTGGCAATTTGCCCTATATGGCATATGGTCTGCCCTACTTATGCTATGATGTCTTTGTGGCCTGCCCTACACAATATATGGTCTGCCCTACTTAGGCTATGATGTCTTTGTGGTCTACCCTATATGGCATATGGTCCACCCTACTTAGGCTATGATGTCTTTGCAGTCCACCCTACATGACATATGGTCTGCCCTATATAGGCTATAATGTCTTTGCAGTCTGCCCTACATGACATATGGTCCTTCCTATAAAGGTGTGGTGGTCTGCCCTATATGGTGTATGGTCCACCCTACTTAGGCTATAATGTCTTTGCAGTCTGCCCTAGTTAGTCTATAATGTCGCTGTGGTCTGCCCTACATGATATATGGTCCTCCCTATAAAAGTGCAGTGGTCTGCCCTATATGGTGTATGGTCCACCCCACTTAGGATATAATGTCTTTGTAGTCCACCCTAGTTAGTTTATAATGTTGCTGTGGTCCACCCTACATGACATATAGTCTGCCCTACTCTGTCTATAATGTCTTTGTGGTCCACTCTATATGACATATGGTCCTCCCTAATTAGTCTATAATAGCACAGTGGTCCTCCCTAAATAATATATGGTCTGCCCTACCTAGGCTATAATGTCTCTGTGGTTTGCCCTAGTTAGTCTATAATGTCATTGTGGTCCACCCTAAATATCATATGGTCTGTCCCATGAACTTGTGTGGTTGCTCCTTGTTTCCCTTTGTGGTCTTTCCTATATCATGACTGAGCCAGGGGTAATAGCAGGTATAGGTCTTTGCATAGGTACAGTGGGGTACAGTATCCATGAGGGGTAAACCCATGGGTATACAAATTTCGCTACTAGACATGCATAAACTATACATTAATATCATCCAGGCCCTCATTCAACTCCTGCTCTTCTCCTTCAAGGTCAGGCTTACATGTCATGTATAACATCCTTGTCATTCGCCAGACCAAGGAACCTTCAAGGCAAAGAAAAGCTCATGTCATTTGTGCCAAAATTCTTGAATGCACATGAGAAAGAATGAGTCATCCACAAGAGAAAATATGCTCAATGTCAACAGACATTGCAGCAAAGCCACATTGAACACATTAAACAACTTACTTGGAATTAGTCAAGTAATCTAGTGCCATGCAAGAGAGATGTCAGGTAACAGGTACTCTGCACTCATACCTACACCCTCAAAGCTACATCAAGCTGTTCCTGATCCCCTTTGAACTCTCTGTCAGCCTTACATACCTGTGAACAGCAAGAGAGAGACCAAACTGAGCAAGACACGATTGAATCCATAAAGCTAGCCATTATATGCTTATATATGTTAGATATAACACAGAGGTTCATTGTAGTCTAAGGCTATTCACCATCAGAATCAACAGAAAACTACTGCAAACTATTAAAAATTAGGTGGTTTGTGGACCCCAGACACTCCTATATATTTGGGAAAATCCATTAGATATATGGTCCAAAGTACCTTATGGTACTTCCCATGACATGTTCCCAATTGCCTTTGGTCCACAAAAATAATAGGGAAGGACCATGGAACATTGGAGAGACCACTAGAAACATACCTCTTAGGTACAAACCTCTATAGCTCACAATCAACCTAAGAGGTGTCTAAAATGGGGTGACCAAAGTGTATCTTCTCTCATCTCATTCACATTCTAACTGTGCACTTCTTCAAGCTAACATCCTCCCCTTCCTATTATTCATGGCTCCTCTCTGGCATTTCATGGCTCCTTCCTGGTCCTTCATGGTTCCTTCCTGGTCTTTCCTGGTCCTGTATGGCTCCTCCCTAGCCCTTCTTCCTGGTTCTCCCCCCTGGCCCTTCCTGGCTCCTCCCTGACCCTCCTCCTCCCTGGCCTTCTCTGGTCCTCCTCTCTGGTCCTCCCTAGCTTTTCCTGATGGTTCTTTCTCTCTCTCTCTCTCTCTCTCTCTCTCTGAGGCAGGTAACTGACATGTCTCTATCTCTCTACCTTCTGTTCTACTGTATCTCTTTTCTCTCCTGTATTAATATCACATATGTACATCCAACCCCAATTAAAATTTGATTTGATATATAAAATAATAAAATGAGTGTCAATGTTAAGACTTTTGGCAGTTTTGTGGCAGTTTTGTTTGAAGCAGCCTGGCATTATAAACCTTTGTCAAGGATGGCAGATTCCTGCAATGTGCATCATAATTGTATCTTTGGTGGTTTTCCCCAGCTTAGTCTAACTATCTAAGGCTTTGTCAGGCTGACTGCAATTATGATAGAGATTATATTAATTTTATGTTAGATAAAGCTCCATAATGCTATTCATGTCAGGTCATTCCTGATGGATGATGCTGTGAGTTTGTGCTACAAACCATATGCAGATATATCACAATATAGGGCCCTACAGGCATACAGAGGTATGAGGCTCTATACCAGACCTCAATTGAGGTAGGGGGTCTAATACTATGTATATTTGGAGTAGGTGTATCATATATCTAACCCAGGAAACACACAGGATCCTTCTACAAGAACAAAAACATGACAAATCGCATTTTTGATGTATTTCACTCCCTTAATCTTGCATAAATGATCAAATATGTTCATATATCATTTTAATATCATATATACATCCTTTGTATGACAAGGATCAGCTCAACAGAGGCTGGAGTGTTGAGATGGTGTGTATACTTGCTATTTCTACTGATAAGGGGTCCATACCTTCAAAACATCGAATTATAATAATCAGAAACCCAGGGTACATTTCAAATATATTAAGTATCATATATCTAAATTTACAGAACAATCCAACAAGAGTTTAATGTTCAGGAAGTGAAATAGATAAGAAATTGTGTGTAGGAAACTTCAAAGACCCAAAACATTGAAAATGATCAGTTGAGCACTGAGTAGTGGTAGTGTTAAGAACCATGCTCAAGGAAGAGAGAGACTGACTCACAGGGGCTTGGCCTCAGCTTGTATGCTGTGCCCCTTACCTGAGTACAGTGGCTCAAAAAAGTATCCCAATGTTTGTGGGTTTTCATGTAATTGCTTCATTGTGAGTTAGGGTGTGGGAATATGACTAAGCT